ACATAGCATAAATAATCAATTAAAAAATAGTCATGCTACGCTGATCAAAATTTGGGACCAAATTAAAAACTCAAATGATATGACAACACATTATTTGTAGTCAAAGTCAGCTAACATGACACCAAATAAATAAGTCAAAGTCAGTTTTCATATCATTTAAGCTCTTAATTTGTCCCAAAATTTGGTCAACGTAGTATTACTGATTAAAAAATAATGCTATTTAAATTTAACTTGCTAGCATAATTTATAGACTTAATTTATCGTTGCAATTAAATTTGTAGCGAATCCCTAAAAATAGTAAGATGACTGTCAAGTACCCTTTACAATAGGAAGACTAACTTAGGGCATCTTCAACCCAGTTAGCTAAATCCATTTTTTAGTTATTTTGGTGAGGTTAATCCAAAAATCAGCTCCAACCAGCTAGTCATCTTGCTAGCTAAAACCTAGGAGCACCATCATGCTCGCCAGATCTGTAGAGGGAGAAAAAGCTCACCAGCTTGCGCATCTTCCTTCATCGTCTTCTCTAACGATTATTGCTAGGTATGTTCTTCATCTTCTTTATCCCCCACCCCCAAGCTGCAAATCCCCCCTCCCCCCCCCCCCTCTAATTCCGAAACCTAACTCCCCCCAACCCATTCAGCAATCCGCCTTCACTTCCCCCCCCCCCATTTTGCATCCCACCTCCCTTCCCCACTCCCCCATGCCAAAACCCGAAATGCATTTTGAAACCTGCCTCCCCCATCCCCCAAGATTTCGAAAACACCCCCTTAATATTTTATATAATGAAATATTTGATTTTAAACCCTATGAAATATTAATGCAAGTATTTGTGAAAATATTAGGTTTATGAGACATGTATCGTGCAATTGGTTTGTGTTATTTGAAGTGGTTGGATGTTAAATTACTATTAGGTTGTATTATTTGAAGTTTGATTAGAATTATTGTTATAGTTAGATGGTTTGAGTTGAATTACACGAAAACCCTAAGTATTATATATGACTGTTGAATATATGACCGTTATAAAATTTGAAACTTTGATGATGTGGCATGACATGTTATCATTCTCCGCCATTATTATAGTGTTGACGTGTTAGGCCACGTAACATTTTTGAATTATATTACTGAAAGTTAATTAATGTTAGTTGAAATAATTAGTTAAAATAAAGAGTATGATTAGACTGAACTTAAAAAAATGGCTAACTAAAATAGAAAATATAATATTTAAATACTAGTTATTGTTTGTGCCTGAAGATACAGAATAATAAAAAATGGTAAACAATAAACATATTTGTATTCATATCCAAAATTAAATTACAAACATAGAGCAGAGATAAATAAATTTAAGCATCGATTGTAGTAAGGGGTGAGAGGTGGTGAGCTGCAGTGGTGGAGGTAGAAAACAGTAATGGTTATGGTGGGTGGCAATGACTGTGGTGGCAGTAGTGGTGGTGGTGGTGATGGTGGTTGTGGTGGTGGCGACTGCGACGATGGTGGAGGTCGTAGTGGTGGTGGTGGCGGTGACGGCGATTATGGTGGCAGTGGCGGCGATTGTGGTGGCAATAATGGTGGTAGTGATGGTGGTATGGGGTGGCGTGACGGTGGCGATAATGGTGGCGATGGTGATGGTAGTGACGGCAATGGAGGAGGTGGTGGTGGTGGTGGTGGTGGCGACAATGGTAGTGGTGGTGGTTGCAGTGGCGACGACAGTGGTGGTAGGTGGCGGTGGTGGTGGCGCTAGGGGTGATGGTGGTGGCAATGACGACTGTGGCAGCGGCAACGACGGCGATAGTGTTGGTGGTGGCGACGGTGGTGGTAGTAGTAGTGGTGGGACGGTGGGGGTGGTGGTAGAGGTAGTGGTGAGGCAGTTTCAAACATTATTTTTTTTTTTAAGTACTTATTCATAGAAATACTTTTAAAAAGTTATCTCAAACATACCTTTAGGGACCTATTTTCCTATTAAATTTGGGGTGTTAATATTAGCCGTTAGATTAACTTTAAAGTAAAATTTTAAGTGATCTAAACTGCAAAAAAATAAAAGTCATTTTTTTTATTTTTTGAAATTTGAATTGTAAACTACTTTATTATATAAATTATTATAAAGTAGCATTGCCTCATCTTCCTAGTTGAATATATCACATACTCATTTTTTTTTAATAAAAATGTAACAAGCCAAGACATGGTAAAAGGCAATGTTATTTGAGTAGCCTATAGGTAGAAAGGATATGTGGATTAATGACTTTTGTGTGTGAGGGACAATATCTTATTAATAGTACTAATTATTGCATGTGCCTGAAGGCACAGAGTAATAAAACATAATAAACAATAAATATATTTGTATACATATCCAAATTAAATCACAAACATAGAGAAGAGATAAAGAAATTTAAATATCGGTTTGTAGTAGGGTAAAAGGTGGTGGGCGGCAGTGGTGGTGGTAGGAGGCGATAATGGTTGTGGTGGGTGGCAATGACTGTGGTGGCGGCGAGGGCGGCAACGATGGTGGCGACGTCGACGGTGGTGGTGGTGGTGGTGGTAGTGGTGGGCGTGACGGTGGTGGGTGTGGGCGGTGGTGGCGGCGGTGATGGTGGTGGTGGGGGTAGGGGTGGCGGGGGCGATGGGGATGGTGGAATGGTGGTGGCGGTGACAACCGTGGTGGTGCCGACATTGGTGGCAACAACGGTGGTGGTGGTGACGGCGATAGTGGTGGTGATGGGGGTGGCAGGAACGGTGGGGGTGGTGGTGGCGGTGGCAACTATTGTGGCGGCGACAGTGGTGATGGTGGCGGTGACTGTGGTGGCGAGGGTGGGGGTGGGGTGGGGGTGGCGGTGGTGGTGGCGGTGGCGGTGGTGGTGGTAGAGGTACTGGTGGGACGGTTTTAAACACTATTTTTAAAAAAAAATATTTATGAGAAATAATTTCTAAAAGTACTTTTAAAAAGTCACTCCAAACACACCCTTAGGAGCCTATTTTTCCTATTAAATTTAGGGTATTAATATTCCGTTAGATTAACTTTAAAGTAAAATTTAAAACGATCTCAACTGCGAATAGTAAAAGTCATTTTGTTTATCTTTTAATATTTAAATTATAAACTACTTTATTATATAAATTTTGAAATTGAAGGCATTTTGAGAGTGCTAAATAGATGGCCTTATCTGATGTGTCCACATCACTCTGAAATTATTACTTTCTATTAATTAAATTGGAATAATGCTAAATGGACTAAAAAACTATACTTAAAAAGTAGACTTGATAATCTCAACTATTGAATAAGTAGTGAGTCCCAATAAATACTGGGACCTACAATGAAATCAATGGTTGAAATTATCAAATCTAATTTTTAAGTGTACTTTTTAAATCCATGTAGCATTGTTCATTAAATTGATTTTGGTAGTTGTGAAAGTGACACATAAAATTTACAAATTTTAAAATCGATGTGTTGCGTGAAATGGATAAATACATTATTTATGATAGTCATATTGGCGAATGTGTCCAAAATTTAGTCTTTTTGTGTATGATATACCAAATAGAGTAATATGCTTCTACTACACCCCCACCCCCACCTCTTGTCCCTGCTTTTTCTCTAAACATTGGGATTGTTGATGCCATCAGCATTCAATTATTGAATTGAAAAATAATTTCAAGCAATAATTGAAACAATAGGTGGAACTTAAAAACAGTTCTGGGTTGAATCAGTTCTACATGGAACAACAGTATTAGTTTTTTTGAGAAATTGTCAGGGATGGGTCGACCATTATGCTTCAATATACGCAAAGAGAAATGAGTTTTTGACAAAATAGAGTCGTTAAACGCAGGCTACACATCTCTCTATCTCTCTCTCTCTCAAATAGCTTTTTTCTTCTCTAACAGTCTGGTCCTCTATTGATAAACCCTTGGCAATGTAACTTGCACTTGACGCATAGGACAAACGGTCACTGCTGTAACTAAACTCGGTGCCAATCGTGCGTTCTTTAATCTCACAAGGGATGCACCCAATCACTGACAAACTAAACACATTTGGTTAACTAGAACATAGACTCAAACTTGAGATTTCAAGATGATGAACTCCTAAGGCCTTCCCATCCAACCTACATCAGCGGGTTAGTTGAACAAAATTTAGCCAAAAAATTCGTAATCTCGTGTTTCAAGATCATCCCAGCTCTAACAGGAGTGTCTCAGTTGACACTCATCACACTTGGGATGCAAAATACATGGCATCAACTGAATTTTCATCCTGATGAACAAAAAAATAAACTGATTTTTCATCCGGTTATGACCTATGTGACTGCGACTAGTCCATCTACACACACCCACAACATGCACCATCAAGCCACATGGTCCAATGTTAACCCGGCAATAAAATTCTGCAACGCAGTAATGCCCCCAACACCGTGCAGGGGCAATAAACATCTGGATCACCTCTCTGTTGGCTTTTACGCTGGGGCAAAATTCAGGTTTTTCTAACAAGCAAATGGCCAAATCAACAATACTAGATAACTAAATCAACAATGTTAGGCGTCAGAAGTATAAATCTGAGAGAGGGGGTAGGGGACGTAGCATTAACTAGCTCTCTACATATACATATGCTCCGGATGCCCAACTGACAGTAGAATAGCCTTCTGTTTTATCATTTTAGATACATGACAACATTGATTCTCTAGTTAATGTTACATTTCACATAATCGACAAAACGACTTTGCACCTTTAAGGTCCATACTACAAGTGATGATTTGGGAATAAAATGGATAAAAAAACATGATGTTAACATCCTATACATAAACACAACAAACTCACTGTAAAGGAGAGGGGTTAAGGAGGGAAACCAATTAGTCAAATGTCCAAAATACCCCGGACAAACGATTCCTTTTTAACATCTTCCGGGCAATAGTTGAGGAGCCACAAAGGCAGAAAAGCTCGGCATTACGGTGGCATGCCAGCATACCCTTTTCTATAAGTTTATATAGTCTACAACCGCATAAAGAGAAGATATCTTCCTACCACATTTAGACAGACAGAGGAGGGAAATCATCATCATCTTTTAGATGATATGATGACTGTACCGTAACCCTGCATGTCCAAAAGAAAGAACAGCTTAAATAAAATAAAATAAAAAGCTTAAACAAAGCCCTAAAGACGTCCAACACCAGATAAATTCACAAATAATGAGATTCTCATACCTATCCTGATCCAAAGGCAACAAAATTTTTGGTTTTTGTGTTCCAGGAGAGGGGAGGCCTTGGCTAGAAGCTTGAGGTAGCAACGAGACAGTTCTTGGTTGCCTGCTGTTTTCTAGCAAGGGTGCTCCCAATAACGCATGCCCTACTGACCCAAAATCAACAACTCCCCCCGATTGGAGGACTGAACCATTGGCATGAGGGTGTACTTTCCCACGAGGGGAACCACACTGGTGGATGTCTGAAGACCCCGGCTTCCCACCAACATGGTCAACAGCGACTGCTGATTGTGATTGCTCACGGCTGCTTCCGTCGAGCATATTCGCTTCAATGGGTGTCACACCCCAGCCATTTTTACGAGGGGACTTCACAGGTGCCTGATTCCTTCCCTTCACTGTTGAAGGCCTATAACCTTGTGGAGACCGACTCTGCAAACATTAATGCATAAAACCATTTCTGAGATTATGAGGCTCACCACATCAACAGTATGTTAAAAACAGAAGCTGCAAAGTGACATCAAGTTTGACTGAGCTGAAACATGATTACTTCACATTCTTAAAATAAATACCACATTCAGAAGCATACCATGTTGGGAAAGTATGTTCCTGTTCCTCGTGGCTTTGGCATCTCTTCCAAGCCAAAGGTGCCACCAGGTACCAACACTGGGTTCATGGGATAGAATGCTGGACTTGGGAGAACACCATTGGCACTCCCGTGGGAAACCCCATTACCATTGAACTGTGATGAGTGCTGAATTGCATCCCATGAATTCTTGAACTGAAACTGAGCAAGAGGGGGTGGTGGTGGGGGTGGCATGGGCAGAGCAGGCACACTCAAGGCATACTCGTAGTACAACCGGCCATATCGTAAATAATTCAATTGACTGTCATAATCCCCACTGAGATCTGACAATTTCAACGATTCAGAATTTCCAGCATTGCTTTCCGAGGCACAATCCCAATTAACATGATGTAAATCTTGTGGGAAAGCAACTGGTTTCGGAACTGAAGGATCATCCTTTGAACCAACAGGGGTTGGAACCTCCTGATCACCAACCAAGAGGTTCTTGTGCTGGACATGGCCAATGATAATGCCTCCTCCATCAGGTGCTTGCAACAGTCCAGAAGAAACTTCATTTTCATAATGTTCTGACTGTTGTGAGTCTGAAATTCCATGTCTTATATCTCCATTACCCAATCTGGAGTTGGAGAAATAGAGGTGTGGTGCATGATGTGCTATACCCACTGATGAAGCACTCACCTCAACATTTAGAGGGGAAACTTCAGCTGAATCATTTGAAATCCTAAGACCATGAATTTTGGTGGTAGAGAGGTCTTTTGAATCCCAACGAAAACCCAAAAGAACACTCCTTTTGGATGAACTGTCAGCCTCCGATGGCTTTGTAGAGTGACACACTTCCACATAGCCTCTTTGATGTCCATCTGCCATTTTGCTAAATGTTGTTTCTGTTCCGGATGCCTCAATGTTATTGACTGTGTCCTGGGTCAATCCATCAGGATTGAACTTAAAATCTCCAGATCTGTCAATACATTTAGAAATGACCTTGTATTCTTGACATGGCTTGGTCTCTGAAACTGAGAATGCAGGCTCAAACCTAGAGTGATTAAATATTGGGACAGAATCTTGAACATCAGGCCTCGGTCCACTCCCATGTCTATCCAAAGTGTTTGAGAAAAATTTAAGAAGTTCTACATCTATGTTTTCTTCTGGCTGCAAGAGAATTTGTCCAAGTTTTCGAGCCCCATACGTGAAAGCACTCCGTATCCGAAAGAAATTTCCTACACAAAGCAAGCATGCCATCATTAGCTGCTTCTATTTTCTCTCTTTTTTTTTTTTTTTCTTTTCGGTATTATGGAAGGAGGAGGGGAGAAGAAAGCAAAACAAGGTTGTTGGGGAACAACAAATTATCATGGCTCCAGGCACAACCTGTAGCTGATTCTTCAGTGCATCAACAAATTTTAAATGAGCCTGAAACAAAAGACAGGCTTGATCTTTCCAACAAAAATTTTGAATGTAGATTAGGCAAGGTTTACATTCTTATGGTATAATAATTATTTAGAAACTTGTATGTACTGTAGGGACAAATTTCTTTCCTTCGCATGTCAGTGAGCAAACCCACAAAACATTGGCTTTCCTAAAATACACTCAACATTAAAATGGCCATACCTAGTGCACAAATGAGACCCTTTCTAACCTTGCCTCTCAAGCAATAATAAAACCATAAAGGATTCTGTGTGTGTTGGGGTGGCCGCAGGGGGGAGGGGGAATAAAGCTACTACCTTTGCTGACACTTCGGCCAAGGTTGTTGCTTTGCTTTAATGGATCAACTATGTTCAGATGCTTTGGAAGAAATGTCCTTGAATTTATGTCAACACCTTTCAAAGGAACTGAGAAAGTCTCCACACAAAATCTAAGAAAATCATTGCTCAGCAATAGGTCACTTCCACCATTTTCGGGTGCCTCAGCTGGAAAAGGGGATGAGAGAATGAGCATATTAAATAAGAAAAACCAATAACATGGAGTACCAATGCCAGAACATGTTGCTCACCCACGATTTCAGGCAATGAAGATAGACGGACTGGCCCAATTAAACTGATGCAGTAGTTGTCCCAATCAAATTTGCTGAAGTAGTCCAAAAATCTATAGAGGACCTAAAATCAACAAGCACGATCATTAAGATCAAGCTACGCGAATATTTTTTTAGGAATACAAACAATGATTCCCATGAGCACTCACTGCCAGAGGACCATTTAATGTTGAGTGGAAGAGATGGAAGATATATAAAACTAAAGTCTCCAAAGCATATGTAGAAATCAAGCCATGATGAGCCCCAAGAATGCGACTCTCATAATAGCACCAGGCCTTAATCAGTATGACACTGCGCTTAAAGAGATGGTCCTTTCGAATAAGGCAGTCAACCTGTACAATAAGGAGTACCGGAAATGTGAAATTCAAAAGTGGAAACAGTCCACCTTCATGCTCAAGATAACCAAGAGAATCTTCATATATGTGAGTAATAGGTAATTATTCCAGTCCCAATTGAATTCAAGCACAATATGTAGCAAAAATAAGTGGAAAAAAAACTTCATGTCATAACTAGAAAGTGCACATGTACACAACCACTCTCTCCAATACAATAACTTGCTATAAAGATATGATGGGTGAAATTGTTTTTTCTTTTTTTTTTTTTGATAGGATAATGAAAAGACTTTTTTCGGATATCTAGCTTGAAATGTGAGAGTAGTTTCTGATAGACCCACCAAACAAACACTTTTAACTGTCTTCAAAGAGCAATTTCTAAACCACCCAGTCAATACATAATTCTGGCAGCCAATGGTATATGCTTGACCTAAATCTAATTCAACAAAGCCTCAACTACAGCAATGATAATGCCAGAGGAGGTCTCATTCTTTGATATCTCTTAGCCATTGATCTTCACTACTTCCCCAGTACAAGGTACTTCAAATCTAAAGCTTCTCTTTTAGATTTTGACTGAGAGTGTATCTCCTCTTTAGTTATATAACTCTTGATTGAAAAGGAATATGACTAACCAAAGCATCGCTGAAAAACATCGAGAAATCTGATTGCCTATTAGGGATACAAATGTGGCGCACTAAATAGAGACCATGCCCATCACGCCCCTTGTACAGGATGTTGTATTTGAGGGTGTGGTAGTGGTGGAACTAGATAATCCAAACTCAATCGCCAAACTCATCTGACTCCTATTATGTACTGAATTTGCAAAACCCCCTTATTATTATTTTTATAGCTCAAGTGTGAGGCTATGAAATTGAGTACTCGCTACATGGCAGGGGGATGCGGCAAGTCAAGCTGATCCCAAACAGGATGGGGCTGGGTTTGTCGGAACCCGTACCCAGGGTGGGGCAGGCACGAAAGAGCTTGATTTTGGAGTTTGGTGATGGGGAAGGGGCCACCCCAATTGAAATCCTTATTTCCTTTACAGCAATGAGTTGCCTTTGTTATTCAGAATACAATAATAAAATTCTGACCCAGCTAAGCATATCCATAAATGTAATATTGCAAAAGCCATGGACACTAACGAAGAACATACAAGTCTTACTAAAGCATCCACAACATGTATTCATGTGGCATAACGTGAAATTCAAAAGGGTAGCCTTCACAATGGTGATAAGAGGCTAGCCCACCTGCTCAAGAAAGCATAGCGCACAGAGCCCCCCTATTTGATTGAATGAAATATCCACAACAATATTCTGCACAATGCATTTTACAAGCTTAACCTGCCATCACAAAATCCAATATCCACAATACCAGGTTAGATAAACAATTGGAAATCAAGTTGATCTGCTATAAGACTTTGTATAAAATCATCTCCAGATCAAAGATGGAATTTAGTTGCTTCATAAAAGGCAAACAAAAGGTGGCTCAATGCATGTTGCTCCCGCCACTGCGGGATCTAGGGAGGGTGAAATGTATGCAGCCTTCCCCTACATATGGAAATGGTGTTTCCACTACACAATCAATTGACATCAAGGTTACCATGGTGCATTCTTACCGCTGCACCAAGGCACATGCTCACCAAAGGTAAATAACATAAAAAAGGACATAAGGTCCTGGTTCTTAGTGCCGGTATCAGCTGTCAAAATCCAAAGCATTACATCAGTGATATATGAAAAAGGAAAACTTAAGCTTTCCTATATACTCCTTTCTTTTCTTTTGGACGAGAGAAAAGAGCTGAAAAAGAAGGGGGGGTTTCAAAAATTTCTACATACCTTATACGACCCAGTTTCTCACATATCAATGTCCTTAAAATCCCCATGAAATCTATGCAACTTAGGAATATTAATTCACCACTAGTAATAATTTCTTTCTCATAAACTTTAGGAACTGCATAACCCATTCTTCAGTTTCCATTACATTTTTCTCGACAAAAAAGTATGCCACTGATAATGAACAGTTGCAAATGCAACAAACTTGCAATCATTTCCAAGTCCCAACATAAAGTGACTCCTGATAACTGAAATACATGTTCTCATTCATCTATGTTCTAGTTTCTTCCTCTTTTCCTTTCCCACAAGTGTATTTACTGTTCCCAAACAAAAGAACCAACACCATCTACCATCTGTTAGGATTTCTCAGCTAAACTATAGATGCAGTACTCGAATGGATTTCCTGAACTAATGTGAGACCCTCCAAGGGTTTAAACCAAGTAAAGAAGGGGTGAAGCCAAGAAACTTTGTTGAGGGAGACAGAAATATGTGTTCCCACTCACCTACCTTTTTGTTTCGTTCTCTTTTTCTTTGCCTTCCAATAAGTGTATTTTTAATTTAGTATTCCCAAACGAAAGAACCAACACCATCTACCATTAAATAGGATTTCTCTGCTAAACCATTAAACCAAAACTTGAAAGGAATTCCTGGAATAATTTGAGGCCCTTTATAGATTTAAACCAAGCAAGCAGGGAGAAGCCAAGAAATTTTGTTAAGGGAAACCAAATTGCATGAGACTACAATTGATTCAAGTTCCTACCAATCAAAATTTCTTTTCCTGAAAAGCAACCCTTTGCAAATTTTAAAATTTGCAATCAGCTTTGGATTTCTCATAAAAATTTCCACATCCACTTTCCAAAATATGTTAATGCATCCGAATATTTATCAAAATCACCAGTCATAATGTATACATCACCTGAAGCTATATGCTTGCAGAAACATTTGCCACAAAGTAAAGGAATTGTTGGAGTTAGTGCCAACTGAAGCCATATAAGAATCATATGTTATCGAAACGTCAAGGATCTAACATCATCAAGCATACAACACTTAAAAATAGGTTTCCAATCTTTAAGGGATTATTTTATTGACCTTTAAAAAGATAAAACAATGAGAGACTAGCAGTGGGAGCAGGATCTAAAACCCCTTCATTTTCACAAGGGCGACCTACATGCCAAACTGATGCCGCACAGATATATATACAGGGCTAATAACATCATCTCCCGCGCACCTGTTGTATCAGACACATTCTATAGATGTAAGCCTATGAAGCATGGACACTCTCGAGAGGGTGACGTATCCGTGTCGGACATGTGTCAAACACCGACACTCTTCGGACACTCGCGGACACATGTCAAATACTCTTTTATCTATGTCCATAATTAAATGATAAATTTTTAATTTTGGACACGTGTTGAACACTTTTTTTGTGACGTGTCCGACACTTCTTTAGAATGTGTCCACCACTAAACAATAGAAATGTGTTGAAATGTGATTAACAAAGTTTAAAAATTTTAGAACATATAATTATTAATACGAGACATGTTAAAATTGTACTCCAAATATAATAATAAAAACAAAAGATGCATAAAAGTTTTAAAAAATAGGAATTAAGAAAATGAGAGCAATTATTTAAATTATTTATTAGGTACGCATTGTCTACAAAAAAAAATTGATGATTACTGACTATTATGAGGATGTTTTAGTCTAAAAATTCACAAAGATGACTAGACATTAGATTTACTTATTATAAAATACTTAATCTTTTATGAATTGTATATCATTATCACTATATTTGTAATAAATTATATAATGCTATATATAAAATATAATTTTTTTGTAGCGTGTCCTCAACGTGTTTGTATCCTACTTTTTTGAGAAATGTCGTGTCGACGTGTCCGTGTCCCATGTCCATGTCCATGCTTCTTAGATGTAAGCTATAATGAATATGAATGAGCTGCTATTTAACTAGTATAACAAAAACTGTTGGATTATAAATTATTAGGTGCTTGTTGGATGGAGCGCTTCATCAGGAACAAGTGTACATAAAGAAAACAGCATAACATCTAACCAGTTTACCCCTAATTAAAATAGGAAAAACCAATGATTCTTAAAAGATCAAGAGAACAACTTTAATAAATTAGTGCATGACGTAAAAAAAACAACTTGCATTCTATAAAAACTGTTAGGATAAATTGCACCATTAATCCTTAAGGTTTGTCACTCATTGAATTTTGGTCCTTAAGAGATATATTTGGTATAAACAGACACTATTTTTCTTTTATTTTTACAAACATTAATCATGACCCAAACATAAATCTTCTCCTATTTTTTCCTTTTTTCTTTTCTCTCCAATTCATTTGTTCAAACTCCAGATCCCACACCGCCACACGTCTTTCTCTCTCAAACTAATACATCTCTCTTTCTACATTCATCCCTTTCTCAAACTCTTGCACACAGCCCCCAAAACCAACGCAGATGACGAACAATAACAAATCATATCAAACGATTAAAGGCTGGATTGAAGCTGCTCCTGCTCGTCGCCTGAGTAAGACAGATCACGATGAGTGGTCGCTCCCTTAGATGTTGTTTGTCGCCGGAATGATCGAGTAAGGTGAAGTGCGACTGCGAAGTGGTCTGCTGTGCACTCTGCGATCGATTTAGGGCAAAATGTCCCAATTAGAGAATTTTTTTTTAATATGAAATGATATTCCAACTACCCGGTTTGTAAAAATCATCCAATTCACAGATTTAGTACAATATCGGCCAGTTTAACAGGTTCAAGGCGGTTCGATTCCTTCTCCAGTCTAAGTCCTGCGTCACGGTTGAACCAGTCCGGTCTAATTCTAATTACAGTGCTCAACACTCCCTCTCAAGCCAGAGTATATATACTATATAATCCAAGATTGGAACAAATTGTTGTAAGACGAGTGTGGTTCAATGCTTTGATGAACATATCTGCAAGCTAATCTTCAAATTTCACAAATGGTGTTGCAATATCTCCATCCAAGATCTTGTCTAAAATAAAGTGACAATCAACTTCAATATGTTTGGTTCTCTCTTAAAACATGGGATTTACTGCTATCTGATTGTCACAGAATAGTTGTAAGGGAAGCTGGACTGAAAAATCAATCTCCTAAAGAAAGTGTCGTACCCATGTCAACTCACTAGTGGTATGCACCATCACCCTTTACTCAGCCTCTGACTGCATCCCAATATGGTATTGTTGAGCATTCCTTAAACTGGCTCACAACACTAACTGTATTTGCAATATCTAGTCAACTAATAGTAAGATAATTTAGTTTCTCAACCGACCTGTGGATTTTCAAACAATGTATCATCATTCATCAACAAATTTTGATTTGGATCCATTGAAACATCAATTAGTCTACCACCTAATAAACCTGCTTGTGCTAGCATGTCGAGTACATACTTTTGCTAAGACAAACAAATGCCCTACTTAGACATGGTAACTTCAATACCAAGTACCTAAATTTGCCTAGGTCTTTAGTATGGAATTGATCCCCGAGGAAGACTTTCAACTTTGTAATACCCTCAAAATCATTATCAGTAATTACAATATCATCCACATAAACAATTAGTATAATATATCCAAAATTAGAATATCTGTGAAAAACAGAGTAGTTTGTCTGACATCTAAGAAGACCAACTCTAAAATTGCCTCCAAAAAGTTATCAAACTACGCTCTTGATGACTGCTTTAAACCATAAAAAAAAATTATTTAGCCGACAAACACTCTTATGATACTCCTCCTGAGCTGCAAACTCGAATGGCTGCTCCATATAGACTTATTAACCAAGTCACCATACAAGAAGGCATTTTTCACATATGACTGAAACAATGGTTAATGAAGATTAGCTGCTAAAGAAATCATTACATAAACAGAAGAAATTTTGACAACAGGAGAGAAGGTTTCCTCACAATCAACGTCATAAGTTTGAGTAAATCCCTTGGCAAGAAGTTTGGCTTTGAGGCGTTTGACTATATACACCCATCGACAACCAACATTCTTTTTACTAGAAAGTTAAGAAACAAAATCTCAAGTCCCATGATGAAGTAAGGCATCCATCTCCACTTCCATAACTTTCCTCCAACACGAACCAGATAGCGCACCCCATAATGTCTTAGGAGTAGAAAGAGTAGATAGCTGAGAGATGAAATAGATGAAACAAAAAAAAGGCATGAGACAAAGCATTATAAGAAACAAAATTAATAATAAGATACCGAGTAACACAAGATTAAGTACCTTTACGGAGAACAATGGGTAAAGAGAAACTAGTAACCGGAATACTAGGATCAAAAAATAGTGAGGAAGACAATAAAGGCACCTCAATAGATGATCGTGGACAACGAGAGTGTACACGGCATAGGACAGGAGCAGGCAGGGGTGGTGAAGAGGGTGATATTATAGTAGGTAGTGGAATGACCGATGGTAAGGGAAGAGGAGGGGTGGAGGTGACTGCACAAAGTCAAGGTCCAAAGAGGGATTAAAAGCTGTGAAATAGGGGTCCGAATCAATGAAAATGACATTAGCAATAGTGAAGTATCTACAGAGGATGGGACGATCACACTGATACCCCTTCTGTGTGCGCAAATAACCAAGAAAAATATATTTTGTAGCACGAGGGGAAAGTTTATCACTTCCAAGACCCAAGTTGTGAATATAACAAAAACAACCAAAGACCTTAATAGATAAGGAAAATAAAATAGAAGTGAGAAAAGGGACAAAATGTGGGCTTTGCCCCTATAACACAGAAGACACAGAATATGATAAATGAGATGATAAGCAAAAAGAACATCATCACTCAAAAAACATCAAGGAATATGCATCTGAAATAAAAATGTGCGAGTCTCTTCCAACCGATGACAACTTTTACGCTCGGCCACACCATTTTGTTGCGGGGTGTGGATACATAACGTTTGATGGACAATGTCAATCTTACGAAGATACGAATATGACAACCACAGGATTTTGATTTTCTTACGAAATGTCTCAAATATAGAAAACAATTCAAAACAAGCATTCATAAGAAATAACCAAGTCACACAAGAATTATCATCCACAAATGACACAAAATAATTATATTTATTAGGTAAAATATTCTTTATTAGAGCTCATATATTAGAATGTACTAATTCAAATGGACTAAACACGTGATTATTAATGCTAGACTAAAATAACACACGGCGATACTTACTAAATTAACAAACTTTATAAGACACAGACGACACATAACTAAGACTAGGAACTTGACAATTTAGGTTATAGAGACAGGGATGAGATTTGAAGTGCTCAAGGAGGGACTTTACTTATTCTAGGGGATGAAAAGACACTAGATGAACCAGTCATGTGATCAGAGACGCCAAAGTCTATGATCTAAGGGTTGCTAGTGAATGACAGTAAACAAGTGGAAGTTATACCTGATTGGACAAAAATAGTCTTGCAAAAAAAGGGTGTTGCCAGTTGTTGGAACATGAACTGAGCATACTCCTCCTGTGTAATAGTAACTTAGAGTTAGGAAGAGTCGAACGTGCTGATGGTGCATGTAAGGAGTGAGCATCTTCCTAATTGGAGACTTGATCGGCAACGCCAGAGGGCTTGCCATGTAAATCCCAACAGTAAGTAATAGTGTAGTTAGTACGACCACAATGAGTACATAAACGAGTACTAAGACAGCCCCTGCAACCTCCACTACAGCCCTTTTGTGTTGCCATCAGAGACAACTAAAGCTAAACGATTAGTAGAAGGACCATGATCAATGCTAGAAGTAAAATAAGCACCAGACAAAGTAGCACGTTATAACCACAAAAAGACCAAAGAAGGGGATGGAACGTTGGGACCACCCAAGATCTACGCACAAATAGATTCATACCCCAGCTTAAAACCAACAAGAAATCAAACAACATCCGAATCCTCACGTTATCGCTTTTAAAGTAGAGCACCAATGGTGAAAGGGCGGTAGATCTTCAATTCGTCACAAACTCCCCCGACTTAGGAGTAATAATCCTCTAAATGCAGAATACTATGGTCAAGGTGAAAATATTATTTGTAGAATTCATAAGCACGAGTAAAATTACCAGTGTCAGAATACATGATTGTCAAATGATCCCAGATTTCCTTGGCAGTATCGAGATAAAGCAATGTAGAACTAATATGAGGCTTAATGTTGTTCAACAGTAATAAAATAATATGTGCATCCTCTTGCTCCCACTAATCGAACCTGGAATCACTTTCCTTGGGTTTTGCTCCTACCAAATATTTTGTAAGACTTGTCTTTAAGAAATACTTGAACAGATTGGGACCATAAAACATAATTAATTCCATTGAATTTGAATGAAGTCATCGGGGCATTAAAAAGGACAGTCGGGGAAAGTGTGGGTGGCTTGATAGGGGCAAAAGGCGGAGTATCAGTCTTGGGCTCCATAGTAATACTACAGATGTTGAGACAAACCAAAAAAAGTAAATCAAATAATATAAAAAACGTCATCGAAATAGTGCAAAGGCAGTCAACGGTAAAAGAATCCAAGGCTAAATGTATAGAAAACCAGACGACGAGCTTAAACCAACATAGATATGATGAAGAGAGGCTAAACCGATGCTAAAATAGCCTCTGAACCCTCAGAAGTGGCTGAAAACAAAAGAATCGGTTGGAACCGGATGTAAAAGCATTTAAACCGGCCTGAACCGGGATAGAACCAACCTAAATCAACTTGAACGTAATCTGGACCGGTCTGATACTGAACCGATTTAAACTTGAACCAATCTAAACCTATACCCTAAGTTTGCTAGGCTCACTTGAGCTGGGCTGAAGACGATGGGCTTGAAAAGACAAGCTTGAACGGTAGACCTTTGTTGGCGCTTGGGACGATGGGCTTGGACAATGGGCAATTAAGTTAGCCCATGACCCAATTGGGGTAATAACCCAACAAATTGGCCCAGATCCAATTGGAATTCGTCTTCTCCACGTCGAAGGGTTAAACAAAACCCTAGCTTCTGACAACGCACAACAAAAAACTCCTGCAACAAAAACGACGCATAATAGACCACAAGCGACCACCACAACACACCCACCAAAGCCTCCAGTAATAGAACAACACCATAATCAAGTAATAACAACAAAGTCGATCACAGCGTCTAAACCAAACCACACCACCAACAACAACAACAAATCACGCCGTTAGCACCAATGGCACAACAACAGACCACCACAACACAACCAATAAAGCATCCAGTAACAGAACAACACTCGACTCGATCATAGAATCTCAATTACATCGCATGGGAATACACGAACGACAACGGTGCAACTAGAATCCCTCACCACAGCAACAATGATATCCAACCACCACATACAACCACTAGTCAGGCACAGGATAACAGAAACCCTAGACCATGCCGTGGGTTGCACAGTAGACTAAGCAAATGAGGAAAAGAAAAAAGGAAAGAAAAGAAAGAAAGAAACCAATTTTGGATCAAACTTGCTCAAATATCATGTTAGGTTTGAAGAATGGAGAGAGACAAAACACAATATGAGAGAGAGATAGAGAGGGGGTGAAACATACCCTACCTCTCACTATCAATTGGTATTTATAGTTATCTAACAAAATACAAAAGACTAGTATACCCTTAGTGAGGTATATTAATTACAATTATATAAAATATAATAATAATACTCTCAACACAGCAAACCCCAAAAACCTAATTGCTTAAGAACATTCATCAGTAGGCAGTGTGTGCCAATAAAAGTTACATAAAAATGCAGAAGCAGGCAAGGGACCCTCCAAATCAAGTTTATTCTAAAATTCTGGTAGCATATGAAAAACACTATGCTGAGACAGGATTTAATTCCCTAAAACATTTGAAGAAAAGCTCTAGTAGGTATAGCCTAAAAATGAAACACTTGTAGACTTCCATATTCTGTGGGAAGCCATAGAAATAATCTTCCTTAAGGCTTCATCAATGCATCATCCTTTCAGCTGACAAAAAATCGATGGACTGTGCATACAAGTCGTGCATATGCATACACAATCAAGTCTCCTTAAGTGCTTGGGCAATGACTTAATAAAGAGCATATATAGGAAAAACAAGCATATGGGAAAAAACACCTAAGCAATCCAAGAATGCATCCGTTGCCATGCACAAGCATAAGAATCCGAGGCACATTTTTTTTTATTGTTTTTTTCGATGAAAGAGAGTAACTGGACTCTCATTCGTATTCTATTCTGGAATAAAAAAGGGCTTCATAATCGCATATCTGCAAGGGGATGTTCACATCCCACTAGGACAATTTGTTTGCCTCAGGCAATGCACAGGCACATACAAAGATGTTAAAATAGATGGACGGATGGCAAGACGAATGAATAATTAGAGAACAATGTATATAAATGGCAACAATGCCAAATGAAATTAAATGCAGTGCCACATAGACATTTTCCCTAGAATGGCACCAGCGCATGCAGGCTGCAGCTACAGCTAACTATAATCATAGATAGTACACCAAAATCGGCAACACAGCACCATACAGATTGTAATCAACTAAACTAAAAGAGGGATTTCCATTATCCTCAATAAGATGGTATAATGCTTTTAAATAGTACTAATATTCTACCAAATTGTACAAAACTGAATGATGCACTTGTTCTTTACACAAAATATCATAGTACTCCAGAGTTTGAGCAGTGATTTATTTATCACAAGCCACCTACATCAAGCATGCAGAAACAAAAAATAAGAAGAAACAACCCAAACTATGTACGGACTAGAGACATTTTTAACCAATGTCAAGCAAAAAAAGACTTCAGAATATGTCTAGGTTGAAAGATGAAAACCTCAGCACGAATGAGTTGGACATCCTTTACGACAAACTCTGCAGCACAACTTTGATCTTCTCCTTCAAGTATGGATACCATATCATGGGCCATAGCATCCTCAACACTCGCAACACCAAAGGCAGTCAGGTCAATATCTCCATCAGGAAGATAAGTTTTTAATGGTACTGATCCATATGGGAACACCTGTAGAAAGTCCAAAAATAAACATTGATTGAGGACAATCAATAGAGTTGAAAAGATATATTGTCAAACTCAAATCAGAAAAACAAACTGTAAGCCACATAATTCATTGTTGTTTTTCACCAAAGTAGGAAATAATTGCAAAATTCATCACCTAAACATAGGTTGGTTCATTTAATGTCACTTTAAACACAAAATCTCACTTGTTTCAATTTGGATTTCACTTTGTTGACAAACAAATCACCTAAAAATTATATTTGGCAATTCAACATCTTAAACGCAAGAAAACTATCACCAAAATTCAATAGATTCACCAAAATTTTCACTCTCTATACTCAACCCAAAGTCCCAAAAATCCAAACAATCAAAACAAAAAATAGAAACTACAAATAATTGACGCCATTCCAAATTTATGTTGGCCCTGTTAGGTATGAAACTCTCTTCTTGCTAAACTTTATAATATTAAACCAATTATTCACCATATCCTTTCGGAATATAAATTATCATGTGAGCACACAGGACTTCATAGAAGTTTTTTTGAATAGATCATTAAAATGCAGGAGATTACAAATACAAATAAGATTTTTTTAAGTTTCAATGAAAAGTCTTTAAAATTGCACTCCGAACATATCCATGAATGTTAGAGAAGCTCATAGCTTTTTCCTGAAGTCTCCCCTGGGTCAGTCTGGTCCATACACAAACATAATTGACGCCCAACTTAGTTAAGACTAAAATCGTGGCTAAAAGGTGATCCTAGAGTGCCAAGTTGACGTCTGAGATTACAGTAGTGTCTTGGGCCCAGCACTCGCAAAAAAAACTGGCCATCTCTGTAAAGCAAGAAGCATCAACGGTCATAGACAATCAATGCCCTATTAGCACAAATAAGAGACTGAGACATGCAGAAATATGAACAATGAACTGCTGTGATGGAACTAGGAACAGGCAATTGAGAAACACATAAACATGAACAGTTAATTTTGAACGAATAGATGCAGGTAATCTGTCATACACCTAGAGATGACTCATCCATGTCCTGACAGCCGGCTGCATCCAACATGAATCAATGATCAGCACACACAAGCAAATTACTCAGGCTGTTAGATTTGTACTGTGATAATTAGCAGTCAAATTTTACAACCATTATTGCTTAGCACAAAATCTAACAATTTAGTTGGAGCTCTCCATGCATCAACAACCGTTATTTTATCAACTCATGTTAGAAAGGGCGACCCGCTACACAAGACTCCCCCCACTACAATGTCTATCAACTCGAACCATTGACACCCAAGTCACACTAGAGTAACCTTACCACTACGCAATAACATTCTTCGTGTCAATTCTCAAGCAGGGGTATGAGAAGCATAAAAGCCTTTTCCTCTAAGATGTTATGCTTGGAAACACAAAATTTAAATCAGTTGTAGTTTTCTCAGCTTTAGCTTGATTTATAAATCCAATTGACAGAGGCAATAAATAACAAATATAAACTTCAAATCTATCACCACTTTCTCAGCTTTATCTTGATTTATAGATCCAACTGACAGAGACCGTAAATTCCATATATCTATGGGATACAGCTCCACTTTCAACCATATAGTCAAGCAAGACGGCAGAGTCTATACATACCTCATGGTTTAGGACACTAATCAAATGTCAACAAGCAAATGAGATAACTCTAAGACAATAGTATCATGGTACAATGATTATGGCCACAAATACTTCAAAAGTATGGATACATAAATTGTGGCGAAAATGTACGCATCCAACCCAACCTCTCATGTTGATCCTTCTAGTCTCCATAAAATCTTTAGGCCACATGAGACAAACCTAGGCCACTGTCATACGCATTGGCTAGCAAATTCAGCTCCATCCAACCAACCTAGGATACCATCAAAACAAACAACATTCCCCACCAATCCAACGTGTAGATCTATTGAACTAGGATAATGTATGCTCTGCCAATACACATGTACATGTATATACGTAGTGACCAAAAGAGGAAAAAAATAAAAATAAAAACATAATAACAACAAGAAAAAACAAAAAACATAAATAAAAGAATAAGAAGATATTGCAATGCATTTTTTACATGCAATCCAAAAATGTATACCACAAGATTGGAACCATGTCCGACATATCACTCATGTAGAACTCTATATGATCCACGCTGTTCTTAAATAACTCCCATTTGCTCAGGTAGGAATCCATTTATGTTCATTTAATAATCACATGAACCAGCTTGAAACACTAGTCTTGGATAGCTTCCTAAAAGAGTCAAAGTTAAGCAATAACTCCCTCAGCTCATATTGTTTGCTAACACGAGAAACATATAAATTGAAATCTTTCTCAATTTCCCCCTTAAAATGGTCTAAACAGATTTTGGTTCTACCCCGACCTTTTCTTTCCTTCTCAGATCTTCACCTTACATTTCTCTCTAAATTATATCACGCCAATGGCTAACCCTATCTTAAAATGATACAAATCCGTCGTGGTCCCTTCTCAATCTGAGTTGTTTAGGAATAGCTTGTTTTTTTGAAGAAAAAAATAACAAACCAAACTCAAACATAATACTTTGAGCTCTTGAAGGTGATCACTTCAAACAAAATCCATGAAAATATCATGGCCACACAATATCAAACATCACTCTTTAAACATTCTTCATGGCAGAGCAAATGAAATGAATGAGCATACAAATCCAATCACACAATTACAGGGTTCCACTGCCCCATCAAAGGCGACAGCACTAAATGGAATATAGCAATGCATTTGGAAGCAAGAAATTCATGTCTTAGAATTAAAAATTGAAGCAAAGTGGTTTAGAATCTGTTTAATGTAAAATCCACTCCATTTTCAAGGCATAGTTCCCTACTCCCATTCATAGTCCAAAAATTTCTTTCATGAACATATAAACCTTGCCCTGGACACACTCGACCCTTGGCATTTTCATCACTCGACGACAAGCAATGTCTTGTCCACAACATGACAAGGAGTCTCCTACCATCAAATTCAGTTTAACCTCCAAAACGACATTAATGTATAAAAATAAAACGATAACGACAATAAACTTCCATAAATGTATAAAGTTCTTAGTAAATGCCAAAGCAATGTCATGCATATAGTCAGATTTTCATCATTATCAATTTCCACATCTTATAACACCTTACCAAGGAATATCGCATCATGTACTGTTCAAAACGACAAGATTGACATAAATACCAATTAAACTTACATTAATGTCAAAAAGTACACGATGATTATCAATTTACACCATGTGCATAGCAAAATTCTCATAGTTAAGAGTTTCCCCCACTAGGCAAGTTCTCCTAAGTACCAATTAACAAAACTCAAAAATGAGTTAATTAGCTCATGTATCATACTAAGAATTCTAAACCACCAACAATTGCAAAATGCATCAACTGTATTATCCACCAGGGAATGAAATAAACCGTGTCAGTTACACAAAAGATTCAAATTTGCAACCATTTCTAGTAATACAACTTATCAAATTCAAGGAAACAACCGAACACTTCAAATTGAAGAACATATATTTACATGCAAACACACGCACAAACGTGGACATCTAAATAAAGATGTCTCTACATGCAGTGAATTCTCACCTCACAACCAAGGCGACCTCTGATCAACCTCTGCACATAAGCGATAACCTCTCTTCTTCTTTCCTCCGACACAGCAGTGGGCTGAACTTTACATATGATATTCTGGGTTGCTTTCTCTGCCGTGGCCCAGCGTTCAGGCCGAATCGACCATGGGCTTGGGTTCGTCGATGTCGATGTCGACGGTGCCGGCACCGGCCAGTCGCCCGTTGGTTCCCGGAGATCGCCCATTAAAGTACACATAATTATTGTCTTGAAAAACCGATTGATTGGCAAATCAAAATAAATCCATTACGTTTTTTTTAATATCAAAATCGTTTTGTAAGATAAATTTGATCGCTGAGGGCGTAAACTTGTTCGATGAAAAGATTCAATTTTGGGATTTGTGACATAACCAGAGGGAACGTATGTGTGAAAGAGTTCAGTTTTGGAATTTCGAGATGAAGATCCAAATGAATAGTTGAGAGTTGAGAGTAGTTTTCCAGTGCGGTGATTGTCGATTCGTGTTAGCTTCAAGCTAGCTAACCAAACCCTCGTCACTCAGGCCAGCCAAACCCTAATTAATATTTCTACAATTGAAAATAATAAGGAAAGATAAAAACAAATTGAGGGTGTGAAAGTGGGTTGGGTTCGATCGCGTTAAGGACTAGAGTTGCAAGCAGATTTTCTACTGATTAGGCTTTTGTTTTGGCACTTTCCGGTTAAATTTTCAAACTCAGCTACATTCATTTCTGTTTTTTTTTTTTTTGAGAAATTACACTATAATCGCCTAAAGTTTATCACTAGTTTACTTGGGTCCCTAAATTCAAAGTTTGAGGAGTACAATTTGGACTTAAAAATATGTTGTAATTATGTGGTTTCATTGGAATCATTAGATCAACCTCAAACTTCAATATTTGATAGAGCGCACAATCAATCCAAATGTCATAGTGAATTAATTCAACAAATGAGGTCAATAAATTAGATATTAATAGTATTACTCTCAAAGTTTACACGTCAAACTAACATGGTCCTTCATACTTCATAAAACACATGAAAATTTCCACGTACTTGTCCCATAAAACTATTGAGAGACATTTCTAATAATTGTGCAAGACAAGTTATATCTGAACACCATTTTCTTTACTTGAATATATGAATCATTGACCTAAAAAGGACTTTTTCTTCTTCACCTCATTTTCTTTTTTTCTTTGTCACCTCTATCCACATAACAAGACATAAACAAAAGCATATACAAACAAACAAACACATAAACCAACCATTATCTCTGCCACTTTTTCCAATTCTTTTTCATTGCCTTTCGTGCTCTCCCTCAAGACCAACACATCCCTCTCTTTCTCTCCTTTTCAAACACTAGAACAATGGTAAAAGGCTAGGGCTTGTGCTTGAGGACGGAGTCAAACTAATTCCACCACCTCATGTGGATAGACTTTTTTAATGCCCCTAAGGATTCCATAAAGCGATCAAGCTTTGATTCTTTGTCCTTCCCCAAAATTGCTCATTGACGATTCAACATCGTATTCTTAAGTCAATTGATGAATTAGTGTACATTTCTGTCTAGATATGTCAAGATTGTTGATTGTGATTGTAAACCCTAAGGTTTTATTAATTTAATTAAATACTAAAATGGGGATATGTGTGTGTGGTTATGTGTGTGATTAGTTTACCTAGTATTGGAATTAAGTGGAAACGAAAAGGGATTTTTGAAACTTAAGAGGGATAAATGAGTAATTTGATAGCCATACTGAGAAGTCTAAATTTTGTGCTTTTTTAGGGTAAAATAAGGGTCTTTCTGAGGCTAGTACACTTAATTAGACTTATTACTGCTTAAGTCCATCAAGAAAATTATTTTGAAAAGAAGTTCAGTAGTGAGAAAAAAAAGACTACACTACCCTTTAAAACAATATTTCAATTGCCTAACTGGATTAAGAAATCCATAATTTCATCTCTTTTATTTACGGCAAAATAAATATTCTCATTAACGCATTCCCTCATTTAATTAGGTTAATTCATAACTATTGGGTATGTATGTGTGCGTATGTGGAGAAATAATCTAATATGGAAAAGATCTAAAATTAAGGAATTTAAAATTTGTTTAAGTTTTGAGTTTGGTTATGTATCTTATATTAGAGAGAGAAAGAGTTATAATATAAGAAAACTCTAAAATTTAGGTGTTTTAGTTATCTAAAATTTAGCAAAATAACACATAAACCCAAGTTTCTATTAGACGGTCTAGAAGTATTTTTTTTTAATGATAAATCACATGTTTTTGAAATTATGATTATGGACGAACAAACATTCGACATATACAGAAACAAAATGATGCCACATTATCTATCCATTCTAAAAAAATGTTCACTATTACGATTAGACCTTCAATGAATACTTTGTTGATACAATTTGTAGTCACACATCCTATATATTGATCCATTATCATTATACCTTCAATGAATACTTTGTTGATACAATTTGTAGTCACACATCCTATATATTGATCCATTATCATTATATATTGTTGTCATATGTTTTATTCGAGTAACTCCTTGTTGTTACGGTTTTTGCTTATTTTGGCATGACAAAAAGTTTTGATAAATATTTTTAGATGTTCACATATGTTTAGTAATTTCACATGTATATATTATGATAATAATATGGAATATATTGGAGATTATGGAATTAATTTTTTTATGATAAATGACATGTATTTGAAATTATGATTTTGGAATAACAAATATTCATATTTTAGTTCAATAACATTGTGCTACCACGCTATCTATCCACTTTATATGAAATCACTTAATATAGTCACACTTTCAATGAACACTTAGTTGAGACACTTTAAAGTCAAACATCCTATATTGTTGAGTCAATATCAATTTTATATTGTTTTCATAGAGTGTTATATTGCTTAAGTTACCTTTCATTGCCACACTATCTAGAGCATTGTGTTGCTTATTTTGATCCAAAAATCTAATGTACAAAACATATATCGTATGAAGAAATTATACCATGTCATAACGATATTATGGAAAAAATGAATGATTGATCAACACATTAAGAAGCACAAATATTAGGCATGAACATGAATGGAAACATAATTTTGAACTTGATATCTAATTTTTAGTTCAAACCTGATATATAATCAGATCAACGACGTAATGGAGAAAAGAAAAAACAAAAACTGGTTAGAGAAGAAGAAAATCGATAATAGTTGATGGTTGGAGAAGAAGAAATAAGATATATTTGATGTCAAAGATACTGAGAATATTATTCAAAATTTAAAATGGATAATATTAGAAAAAATAAACGTTATTTTGGTAAAAGATACTGACAATATATTTCATCCATAAATTTAGGAAGTATGTAATATAATATAAAAAATTCATAATACAAAATAACTATCGTATCTAATATGCATTATTTAAGAAAAAAACAAATATGTCAAATAAAAATTTGAGAAATTTAAGTATGTACCTGGATACAACAAAGTTAGGAAGACGAGGATTAAATTACTTAACAATTTGAGTTATGTACTTTAAGGCCAATAAATATTATTTGATGTACTCCTTGACAATTCTCCGGTAAAATAATGTCGTAAATGGATCTAGAAACCACAAAAATTTAGAATACACACTAGGATGAAATTTGAAGTGTAGGGGGAAAAATAATAATTTTGCAATCAACTTAGAGCTTCTATCAACCGGCTTTTGGAACTACAAAAGAAAAGTTAGGTAGAGATTTTTTCCGATTGATAGGCTTGGAGCTTGGATCGACCAACTTTGAAAGACGATAGATCGACTTAAGGGCAGTTTGCATTTTTCCTACACTGCCTTTGCTCGCCCTTACTCTAGGTATAAATACTCTCTTTCTTCAATTCGCCGCGTCTCTACACCTGTTCCAAGCACCTCAAAAATTATAGAGTTAGTTTGTATTTTGGTGAGCTGTGAGAGTTATTCTAGACTGTTTGGTTACAAAATTTTTTCCTATTAGTATTGTTTTTGTCGTACTATCATTAGAGATTCTAGTTTGTAAAACTTAAAAACATGTTTGATGGTTGTGTGGATGATTGGAGGATTTCATTATGGTTGGATGATGTCATTATTTGATTAATTAATTCCACAAGATATGTTATTGTCTTCATGTTCACAGCATATGGAATTTTCTTATAACAAAGTTTTTGAGATTTTTGGGAAGTGACTTTTTATGCAAACCTAAATTATATGTTTCTTAACGATTATCTCTAGACTCAAACTCGACATCATTTTTATGAAATAACTTAATTAGATTCTGATCACGCCGTTTTAAAAATAGGGGGAGGACATGACAATGGTGTGGCTGTGGGGTTATGTGGTGGTGGGACTTACTGGTGTTATACAATAGAGGGAGGTGGCTAGGTTACACTGTACGTGGAAATTTTTGTGAAAATTAAGTCAAGAATGCGACAAAATAGAAAATAAATAAGGTAAGAAAACTTATTGATAGAGGTGTATAGTCATTATCTTTAAGAATAAATTTTCACTCATCTGAGTATAAAATCCGGTGTAGCAGGTTATAGCGTCATATCCTCTATAATTCAACTATCTCTTCTCCACAAGCGTCTACTCACAAATGTAAATATATATCGAACAACTCTTGATCGGTCCCAAATCAAATATCAAAATCGCAAACGACAGTATTATGGGATGAAAAGAATAACAAATGGATATAATAAGAAAGAAAATATATGGCTTGACCGAAACTAATGATCATTCGTTCTGTCTTTTGCTTTTTAGATTTTTCCTATTTCTTTCGTCAAGATAAAAACTCACTTCCTTAGCCATCCGTTGGATATTCACAGACCAACAGAAATGTTGCAATAGTTTGAAATCAAGTTAGTGTGTAAACCATTATAATGCTTCAATTCCTTTGCATATGTATTAATATAATAATAATATAGCGCTTAGAAGTAATGTTCATCACATGGGACGATGCACTATTTCATGCATTGAATATAGTTTCCAATTTTTAATCACTTGCGACGATTTCACTTGTTTCCAATTGACACTTGAACGATTAACATTTAGCTGTTATTTTTTACTTTTGAAATTGGATAGATCAAATTGCAAGTAACACATACACATATATTTATATCTATATCTATTATGAATAAATGTTTATTTTGAAATGAAATGTAATAAATTACAACAATCTCCCATATATTTCAAAATACAAAATAGAGTTAATAATCATAAATTTGATTTGGGAACACGAGTATCTAATGCGTTGTAGCAATATCTTTTGGACTATGAATCGACACTTCGGGTAAATAAGACAGAGCTTACAGAAACTTAGTGAAATTTATAATTTCTATGAACTAAATGTCTTTTGTGTAAACTAACCGCACTTATCACCCACATTAAGACCCTCTAATTTGAGTTTGTTCATCGTGGGTTGTTGCGAGTAGGCTATGCACCTTACTTGGATATTTATAGACGCTCTAAAGAACTTGTCCGATCTCTCGTAGGAAATAACCCCACTCCTCTATCTATATAGATGAATCTATTAAGCCTACTGCAACTAAA